CACGCGTGACAGTTTTAGACGCTAATGTTTGTACTACCCAAAACAAGGCCTAAAAAGTCCCTTTTCGCAGCACCCCCTGGGAAACGCAGGAGGCCTATAGTAAATCCCCTTCATGTTTCAAAAGTAGCGCAAGGTTCGTCGATGCAAGAGGCACGTTTTATAGCGGGAAATTAAATTGGTGTTGAGGTCAAAAGATGTCAATTTCCCCGCTAAATCTAGCGGAAAATCTAAGTTTGTTGATGGGTGACCTGACACGAAGTCATCTGACGTGATTTTCCCCGCTAAATTTAGCGGAGAAACTCCATTCGTGTTGAGGTCACGTGGTGTCAATGTTTCAGCTAAATTTAGTGGGGAAATTGTGGGAGCAGGGGAAGGCATGGAAGAGGAGGACAGGAGGGTACGGTGGAGGAGGATGGTTGGGTGCGCAGGAGGAGGAGGAGAGGAGGAGGAAATGAGGGGAGGGAGGAGGATGAGAGTAGTTGAAGGGGAGGAGGAAGAGATGAGGAAGAGAGGAGGAGAGTAGTGGAAGGAGGGAAAGAGGTGGATGAGGGGGAAGGAGGGGAGGAGGAAAGGAGGAGGAGGAGAGGAGGAGGGGAAGAGGAGACGAGGAGAAGGAGGGAAAGAGGAAAATGAAAGGATTAGGAGGGGAGGAGGAGGAGGAGGAGAGGAAGAGGGAAGGAGGAGGGGGATAGTAGGGGGAGGGGAGAGGGGCTTACCCTCCCCTCCTCCTCCTGAAGAGCTGCGCTCTAATTTCGCATAACAGAGATTTGTAAACGTCTCAATCTTTTTCGCGTCACGTATACAAGCCTGGATATACGATACAAAGGTGCCGGGTGACAAAACCTTCGACGGTACCGAAATGCGAACTCCGGGTATTATTATTACCTTGTAGCTACGCTAACCGCTGCACAACATCACCCTTTTCTGACTGCGTGAAAGAGAAGAATAAGTCATCCTAAAAAGCGGTATAAAAGTCCGAACAATGTAATAAACTCGCGCCTTTCGAGAAGTGTGTAGCACGCAATAATTCCATCGACGACTGAGCTACAATAACTGTCTTTTATCCACGGCTAGTTTGGTTGTCTGAACCATAGTCTTGCTTGGAACGATGAGCTGTGTTTTACCCGGGAGCTGGTTGCGCGTGCTTCTCTCCGATCCTCTTTTTCTTCGCGCCAAGGTGCGCGGGTGCCGGTCGGCGTTGGGTGTTGAGTGCTGTCGTCTGTCGGACTCTTTGTCCGCCACAGGAGCTCCCCCCTAGTCACGGGACGGTTTAGCCGTTGCGTGGAACGATGCTGCGGTGTCGGGTTAGCGTCAATGTGGACCCTGTTGACAGGTGATTTTCGAGCCGGTGCTGTAGCTGCACTGGTTTTTGGACGTGTTATACCTGAGTTGTCTATCCCAGTTCTTATGACACTATGCGAACATGTCAAGTTATCTGATTCTGGTCCAGACGTATTGGCCATGTGAGCAGGTTTCAGTCGATCGAGGGATACGGTATCTTTTTGTCCATTGATGTCAAGTTTGTAATATTTGGGTGCTCGCGCAATTACCTTGAAGGGTCCTGTGTATGTAGGTTGTAGTGGTCGTCGCACTGCGTCGTTGCGCACAAATACGTGGGTTGCCGTTTCCAGATAGGGGCTCACAAACACTTGCGATTGGTGTGGCTTGCGAAAGGGTACCGGTTGAAGAGACCGTATCACGGTTTTAAGCCGTGCAACGTAGTCCAGGGGATCAGGTAACTCGGTGTCTGGTGATGCCACAAAAAAATCGCCTGGTAGTCGGAGTGAAGATCCGTAAACCAGCTCTGCGACGCTGCAGTTGGTGTCCTCCTTTAGTGTTGTGCGGAGTCCTAGAAGGATCATAGGAAGGGTTTCTGTCCACGACGTATTATCTGAAGCTTTTAGTGCCGTTTTCAGTTGCCGGTGGAATCTTTCGACGAGGCCATTGGCAGCAGGATGGTATGCTGTCGTCGAGATATGGTTTACGCCGAGCAGTTGTGAAAGTTTCGCGAATAATCGGCACTGGAAGTGTCGGCCTCTGTCCGTTGTGATTTTTGTCGGCACACCAAAGCGACTTATCCAGGTGGAGAAGAACGCTTTCGCGACCGTCCAAAGAAAAGACGGCTGATATCAGGTACCACTGCATTTGCCGTCTTTAATGCGTGGTTCGGAAGTTTCCCTGGTAAGCGCAGGGAGGAATGCAGCGGCGGGCTTGCTCTCCAAATTTTTGGTGGTACCAGCAGTGTCGATTAGGTTCCCCGGCGGGTGTTCTACTTGTCCGGGGTCGTCCCGTTTGAGGTCGCCCATTCGGTGATCTCTGATCGTTGCTTATAGATCGTGGCTCAGCCAGCCGAAGGGAGGACACTTCGGTGTTAAGTTGGTCCACCTTATCTGAAAGTTGTGAGACGACGACGCTGAGTTTCTCTATACAATCCTTGCTCGGAGGTGATGATGGTCTGGTTGTACCAAGAGTCGAGATGGTAGGTGTATTGACCTCTATGATCCTGTCTGCCATGCGAGCTAAGGCCTCGGTAGATGTTATTTCTGAGGCGGACAGGATCATACGGACGTTGTTTGGGAGCCGTTGAAAGAAAAGTTCTCTGAAAATTGATGCCTCGACTGTGTCAGGCTGGTCCCCAAGCAGTTGGTGCATTCGTCGTAAGAAGTCTGTTGGTTTTCGGTCTCCTAACTTTTCTGTCGTCAAGAGTTGTAGGCGGCGTTGTTCGGATTCCGTGGTGCGGTGAATAAGTTCTTCTTTAAGGCGATCATATGAGTTGTCGGGTGGTGCACGTAGAATGTCGCGAACTATCGCGGCAGTAGCTTGAGGTAGCGCAGCTATTACGAAGTCGAACCGGGACCTTTGCGATGCAATCCAGTGTGACCGAAATAAGGCCTCGACGTGTAGAAACCAGAGTTCTGCGTCGCCATTCCAAAAGGCGCGAAGCTTGAAGTTTGTGCTTCCGATGTTCGCAGCCAGCAAGGAAGGTTCACCGGTGGAGGCATCGGTGTGTAGTCTTGGGTCCGTCATTTCAGCAGTTGTAGGTTAGGACAACTAACTAGCAGGTAGGGGTTCGATGTCCGTGTCACCAGTTTGTAGCACGCAATAATTCCATTGACGACTGAGCTACAATAACTGTCTTTTATCCACGGCTAGTTTGGTTGTCTGAACCATAGTCTTGCTTGGAACGATGAGCTGTGTTTTACCCGGGAGCTGGTCGCGCGTGCTTCTCTCCGATCCTCTTTTTCTTCGCGCCAAGGTGCGCGGGTGCCGGTCGGCGTTGGGTGTTGAGTGCTGTCCTCTGTTGGACTCTTTGTCCGCCACAAGTGTTTTGAAAAGGGTTCATTCCAGCTCCGATTCTGGCTCGTGACCCTTTACATGTTGAACTTGGTTTAATAGACTGAAAAAATAATGCTCAACTTCTTTCGCAATGAAGTCAGCATGTCGGACCAAGTGCGTGACTTCCATAGGCTGCATCAGATCGCCTTACCTTTTCAGCATTTCAGATGCACAAAAAAGGGAATGGATCCAATCAGTTTACGGTACCACGATTGCGCTCTGGTGCTGTGGAGCGGCATGTACTTTCGAACAGTATAAGCACACAGTACTAGTGTGCAAATCAGATGCTTTATAGTATTATACAGTACAGCATTTAAAACTGTAATTTAGGATTGTATACAACCTACATTAGTTGTACTGCGTAAACTGTACACCTCATGCAGGGCAAATATTACTACATGTTTGTACTGTGTAATTGTGTATTCCGTTCACAAAATACAGTACAAAAATGCTACACTTTACCATGCAATTGTATAACACTGGAACATTATACAGAATTCACTATTAATACGGTACGCTAGTTCCACTGTAATACATACACTACTAGTAATGTATAGGTCGTAGTGTTGTATACTGGTGCTATAGAAGCGTTTCCAGCGAGTTCTAGTTATGTATGCTGGTACACAAAACAGAATCGCGGGAAAGTATTATATTTATTTCTAACCTTCTAAGTTAGCAAGAAATTACTTACACTCAAAAAGCCGCTGTTTGGAGCGCCCCTGTGTAACATAGGCCTTTCTTCGTGTGCCCTTTTCTGAAGAAACTCTGGAATTTTCTATTATCACGTGAACACTAAGTCTAACATATAGTTATGATCAAGAATCGAAGATAATTATAGATGTTATCACAACCTCAGTTTCCAAAAGAGAAATTATACAGTAGACTTCATGACCTCGACATCGCATTTGGGGTAATTATCGAATCGCAACCACATGAAATTTTCGTAGTCCACTGTCAAGACCGTAAAAGGCTTCTTCATTTTTTTTCTCACCACAAGTGAACTGTGATTTTGTTTTTTTAAAACTCTTGTTTCTACCGCGGGCACCTTCCGTGGGAGTTGCGAATCTCAAAAAGCTACTGGCACTGATTATTGGCCACACTGTAGTACTGTACCATAAAATAGCTGAATCATGATTTTTTTTTTTTTTTTTTTTTGCAAAATCATTACAAACTATAGACGCCGATTTGTTATGTTGAATTTAATCCAAATATAAAAACCGAGGAAAGTCTATTTCCACCTGCTATGACTGGAGAGATCTCTTTTTACCAATTACTTTCGACAAACCTCGTCACGATAAAGATTTGCAGTTGGGCTATCCTGCTATTATGCGACTCAAGCTGCTAGACAGTAAAAATCGTGCGACGAAGAGAATACTGCAGGACGATGCAAGCGAAACGCACAAATAGCAAGAACGATTCCAATGAACTGCGGAACCTTCGATTGGATTTTAGGTACCGATTAGTTAACAACTTACTCGTTAAATCAATTCCGTAAATCACGTGGTGCCTTTCACCGACAATACTGAAAACGAATATCTCATCATACTATATACACTGGCCGGATAGCTGGCGCAATCTAGTGGCAAGCGCGTACGTTTTTCGTACCGATTCGTGGTTCGTAATTTTCTTACTTGGACTTCGACCGTTGAGATGGCGCCACATACCTGTTGCAGAATGTACTCGAAGCTTCCCGAATGCTTCAGGAGTAGGGTGTGCTTCGTGGCTGCGCTCAAGCTGTCGATGTGGTGGAATGCCATGTCTAACGCGTACTCAGATAGCCTTGGCGAGCGGTCCGGATACCAGAGGACGATCACGTTGAATTCTGTCAATGAGGGCAGAGGTGACATCACTGAACTTGCCTGAATTAAATTACGCAGTGAATTCAATTTAAGCATGATGAAAAACAGCCTCAGATAAACAGGGACCAAGAACGGGTAAAGAATACGACAGGACAACGGCTGACTCGCAACTGAAGTTCATTGAAAGAAAAGTGAACCAAAGAAACTTGTAAAACAGATTACACACATTCAGATTAAAAACCATTTCATATAGCTCACGTGTTTCTTCATTTTCTCAATATAGGCCGCTGTTTGCGTAAACTGGTGTTATCGAATTAGTGTGATTACCTTCATTGGGCAAGTGAAGAAAAAGTAATCTGACACAATCAGGGCTGAAGGGATGAGGGAAGACGGGCATATTGCTCAGCAAAGCGAATAGCACATTTCGCCCCCCACACAGACACACACACAAAAAGGGAGGTTAATAAATGCTCGTTGGCGCAATGGGTGGCTTCCTATTTTCGATGTACCCAGATGGTGTAGAATCCAAGTTGTTCTTTTTTTTTTCAGTTATTTTAATGACCACTTTTTTCGTGCTTTCGACCTTTAAAAACACCCGTTAAAACGTATTTAATTAAATACAAGGGGACTGTGTGCCTGCGTGCTTGCGTGCGTGCGTGCGTACGTGCGTGCGTGTGCGCACGTGTATGTGCGTCTGCGCGTCTGCGTGTGTGTTTGTGTGCGTGAGGGAGGGAGGGGGGAAGCATGCATCGCGTGCAGAACTTTTTTCTAGGGGTGTACGATAACACGGGTTTCGTATTCGAATGGAAAGATGGTTGCCCGAATAGCTCGATCCGACTTTCGAATTCCTGGTACTTAAGTTCCCGAATACTTTGACACACCAAATAGCAACGCGGCTGAAAAAAATTATTTTTATTTTGGAACGCTTTTAATGCAATGCCACACAGGCTTGTGTTCGATCAAAATCAAGCCTGCATTCAGAACCCTTGACTAACAATTAATTTCAACAGAAAGATAGCGTATTTTCTAGTCCATAAGTCTCGCCCTTGCGTAAGTCGCAGCCGCCTAACAAATGTTATAAAAAAAAAAAAGAAACGTTTGCATAGAAGCTGCATTTTCGGATAAGTCGCATGTATAACCTGTACGGTCGGTGCGGACAAACGGCATTGAGAAGCGCCTGCTTATCTGTATCTTTATCGCGATATACGCACGCGTTGAAGCCAGTTTCAACATCCTTGTCAACCAGTCGAACGAGAAATAACCCCGCAGAAATCTGTACAATTGAGCTCCATACTTCAAAAAGAAACAAAACCGCATATAAATCGCACAATTGTCGCAAACGCGTACGGACAAACATTTCGCAGGTAAACAAAGAACACGCGATTTAAGCTCTGGATCTTGTAGCAGTGTGTTTCTACCAAGGCCACGAAGGCCTTGGTAGTGTTCCTCACGAACACGGAATTGGCGAAAACTTTGCAGGGTGCTTAAAACTGCCTGTGAGATACTGAACATTTGTATCATTGCTCACCCTCATTGACAACTTCACCTCATCTTTCTTCCTCATCATCTTACCCTTTCTTCCCCCTACCCCTTCTCCCCATTACAGAGTAGCCAACCAGAACCTAAGTTCAAGTTAACCTCTCTGTCCTTCTATAATACAGCCTTCTCTCTCTCTCTCTCTCGATCGAAGCAGTTACGCTCGCAGCTTCTTGGGTGCGCTCGACGAAAACCCAAAAACCATACACGCAGCCATTTTGAATTCATGGATTTTGCGTCAACTGCAGGCTGCAGCCGGGTCAGTGTACTATAAACCTAATCTTGGTCGTTATGTCCGCAGGAGAAGGGAGACTATATGTCGCTATCTTCCTTATTCAAGGGCCTTACCGTCACGCAGGCCTACGCGACACCTTTCGGCCGAAAGGTAATTTAAAGATTTCTCCGCAGGACAATGCCGATGCCGCGAATGCAGCTGGGAAGTCCTTAAAAATTAACACTCGCTGTAAAAAAAAAATGAAGAAAAATTATGGGTTTAATTTAAATTGTATGTGGGCATGAAAATAATATCAAAAAGAGCAATATATACATAGCCCAGTGCTATATGCTTAAATGACATTTAAACAATACTGCACTCAGTGCCTTATAAAAACAATTCAAGTAGGTATTCAAGAAAATATATCATAATTATTATTTAAGTATCACAAAGTCAAGTCTTCGTGCCAACTAAGACTCGCAGGTGGCTCTTATAATTTAGTTCGACAGTCATTTCAAGCGTTTGCCTCAATTTGCATATAATGGTTATAGTAATAAAAAAAAAACGAGTGTAGACGCATATATACAGAATGTCTGATTTCATTCAGAACAGATTTCTTTTAAAAAAGAAATCAGTGAAAGCAACCCTAGTGCGGCCAAGGGGACATACCAGAGGGTCTAATTCTTGCGAAAAATTCAATAATTAACTAAATTTCCTTAACAACTTTGTAATGAGGAAAAAATTAACATACGCTTCGAGTTAGAAACTTGCTGAGCGTCATCAACAACCACTGAATCTTTCTACTTTAGATAGACTTAAAGCCCGTGAGAGGCACCGGAGTGCGTCAACGTTACCACTCGGGCAACATGTGCAAGGCCAACGGTGCCAAAACGCGGATGATAATCTTGTTATCCGCGTATTTGCACCGCTCCCCTTGTGCCTGCTGCACCAGTAGTAAATGGTGCATTCCCTTGCTTCCCAAGTCCTTCAAGGGTTTCTAAAATTCACTGATTTAGTAGTTTTCGATGTCGCTCAGCAAGTTTCTAATTGGAACCACGTGTTTGTTTCCACTAATTACAAAGTTCATTGACAAATTTTAACCAAATATTTTATTTATTGTGAGCATTTTCCGGATATAATTGTCCCCCTGGTCGCAGAACTCACCTGCACAAACAGCATTAATGGGCCTTTGACAATTGTTTTTAATGAATTTGTTCGATTTTAGATTACACACCCTGTATATTTATAATTTTTAAGTCCGCAGGTTTATCTCTGGTGTGAAAGAACCCGGGTTCATTGAATGCAATTACCGTTTTAAGCACATACCTTTGTAGAATGCAAAGTGTTTCAATGACACAAATTCAGTTACGTGTTTACGTGCATTCACAAATACATCCATAGTTTTGCAGATTGCGTGATTTGTTGTTATTTTTGTTCATTGCTTAAAATATGAATCGAATCATTTTATTTCTTGTACCACCGGAATTAACCAGACATTATGAAGTACTGAGTTTCTGCTCCGAGTGGTTGGAATAAAATGCCAAGGGGGTTTAAGTTGACGTTATATAATTTAAAATTTGAAGCAATATTAAGATTAGAAAATAGCGCCCAGCGAAACCCGAGAATACACGGGAAAGGGTAGCGTATGCTGCCAAAAATGGAGGGCATTTTTTATACTCAACGAGGTTTCGAAAAACTGTTTCAAACTTTTGAATTAAGTGGCTTTAAGTTACGAAGTTCTTGGCACCTTTTCTAAGCGACTAGATAACATTACATTCAGTCGGAGCCTGTGCGTTCTGAGGTTAGGAATTTATGGATGCGGTGATGAATATTGTGCTCATCCTTCTGAGAAATGCCCTGTAGCTACAGATACAGTTACAAAAAGTATGAAGGTCACATAGCGATCCCTCATGAAATATTTCATGACGCACATTGTTGACCATTTTTGGATCCGTTCTTCAGTTTCCAATGTAAAAAAATAGAATGATTCAGCTTACTTTTTATTGAATGATTGACTGCGCGCTTCTACAAGGGTTCACCAAGATATAATTCCTTAACAAGTGCAGCCATGGATATTGCAAGAAGTTATTCTAACTCAAATGGTCGTAGTTGCTTTACATCCCAGATAGGTGCCCTAGCAGTGACCTCGGGCTCCTATTCTGGTGGTTCTGTAATAAATAATTTTGTATTTATCTTTTTTTGAAATCTGGCGAAATCGTGTTATAACACTAATTTTGTTTCCGTGCTGGGAAAAAAAAAAGATGTTTAGCACGAACAAATTACTGCGAGATCTTAAGAGAAATAAACTTTTTTTAAATGCTCTATGACGTTCCTTAAAAGAATTACCCCACTATTCTTAAATAAGCTTGATTTGGAAATTTAGTGCTTTATAATGTTGTGTTTTAAGCCAAGTTTTATTTCAAATATTTTTTTAACCTTTCGGTCTTTTCTTGTTTTGGTCAAGATTCACGAGTTGCCACACTTTGTGCACTCTTTTGTGGAGATAATGTACAGAGCACACCATAGTCTTGACATAATTTTTCTTTATCATTTCCTTGTATCCCAGGTCGCTATCCCTTTGGGGTTGATAGTTTTCAATAGGTTACAGTCGCATTTGCCTTGAAAAAACCATAGTTCTCGCTCTCTCTTTCTCTCTCTTTCTCTCTCTCTCTCTCCCTCGCTTTACCTTTCTTTTGCGCAAGATCTAGAAGTTATTCTGGTTTGTCGGTGTCCCTCCAACATTCGGTTGAGAATTCTTTCTTATTTTTCCATCAGACCAACCACTGGCCCAAGCTTGTGTTCTTGCCTGTTTCAATGAAGACAGGGATTATAAAAAAACCTACATGACGACCTCAAAAAAAAAAAAAAAAAGATGAATAAGTGTTGTAACTACAGAAAAAAAAAAGCAGATAGCTGATTGAGAAACGCTGCTATTTTTTTATACGACTTGTGTTCTTTCTAGTTTTTAATGCTTTTGTTTGCCTTTATACAATACCATGTTGCTTTCCACCCTATCGCTTATAGACTTCGTCTACAGGCTTAATGAATGTATCGGTTGCACTAAGTAAACTACGCAAACAGAGGTCTCAGACGAACACAAAGTGGAATTCGACATTCCATTGTGTTTTTCGCAATATGTGTGTGTTTTTTGTTTTTTTTTTCTTTTTTTACTCGGAAAACGAACAGTTATATTTCTCGATCCTTCAAAGTGTCAACAAAACAGACCTTTATGAAAGCAAAATATGCGCTACTGGAGGGTGAGCGATGCGTTCA